TTCTTTTCAAGAAGAATAGTATATGCAAGCCTGAACAGAAATCCTGCGAATGTCAGGAGTGTAGTCTCGCGGTGGAATTTAATTTAGAAAAAGCAAATCATTTCTTCTTTACCTTCTTCTCTTTCTTCCCTCTGAATATTAAGTTTACTGCTGATTTATTATTGCGTGCTTTATTGAAAGTTTTCCATTGATCAAGATTCCAAATTATCACAAGATATGTAATTCAGAAGAAATAGGTAAATATTTGTGATTGATGGTAAAAATGATATATTGATCGCGTATATTTCAAGGAAGAGGCAATGAAATCAACCCGGGATTTTTTATTACTCCCATTATACGCGTCGTATATGGGAAATCTCCGGGTTTAATTGTTTACCACTTGCAACTCTCAACATTGACAAAACATTATATATTGCATACTAGTCAGTGGAATTACTGGTACACAAGAACCAGACATTCTCTTCTCTCTCACATACGCGCACATTATTCGAACGGACGCGAAAAATACTCGCAGAGCTCCAAACATTCGGAAAACCAGCTGATCGCAGGGAGCGCGTGTAGAGAGGCACGGAGCTGCCCCGTTGCGCAAGGGCGTGTCCTCGCAAATCGCATCAGTTTCCTCGTTGTCGGGTAAAATGCGCGGAGATCGGTGAGTATGCTTATATGTTTATATGTTCGTTAAAAACCTTTTATTTAACCCCACAGTTCACCCTTAACCTTCCCGTTGATAAATTAAGGGCAAAGAGTAAATCACCGGAACGATCTGTGCAATCTGAACGATCGTCGTCGGATCATCAATGCAGCGATGCATTAATGGCAGTTCGTCTCGGGCATCCAGCATGTATCTTACGATTACCCACCGAAAAATTGTTGATCAAGGATGAAATCGGCGAAACTGCCATGCATAAGGCTGCACGATTGCGAGATTTCCAGTCAGCTAAGTTAGTATAGCATTAATTTATTTAATTTTACCTAATTTATATCCGCATTGTCCCGCATTGCTTTTCTGAAATCCGAATTTCATTTTGAGTTCTTTTTTTGCTTACCTGAACTAGGGGGTTCTAATTGATTCTTGCTGAATACACCATGAGTAATTTGTTTCTTGAGGTTATTCTTTCTCAACCTTCCCGATAAGTTACACTTTTCAGTGATTTTTGCGATAATATCAAAGCGCTAAAAATTTCAATATTTTTTAAATCATATAACTGCAGAACGAAACGTATTACTAGCCTTTACAAAAAGTTTTTGTACCCTAAAGCTCTCACCAAGTCATTAAACT